AACCCAGACAATTTTACTCATCAAGGGGAGAGGACTGGTGCTTAATGGGTTAAAGACAACTGATTGTTGTTTACAAAGACAATTGTCCTTCAAAACTGCATTTGATGATTTATTCAAATTTATGCCTAATTTGTACTGTAGATAAAATCTTGTGAAAGCAATGAGCAGTTGACAAGTTTACTTAATGATGATGAAATGTTGAATGTCTTGATGTCTACTGGATACAGGGGAATTCCTTCCAAGGAAACACTTCAGACCAGAAACAAGATAATTCGGTATTCTGTAACAAATGTCTAGTTTCTGAGGATGTTTCTGAAATAGAAATGTAACAAATGTTGTGCAGAACATTATGCTACAGATTTTATTTGTTTCAACAACTAAACTGTGTATGTGGAATAATGGAAAGCCGACTCGACTTAAAAAAGTGAAGCCAATATGGCAGAATTTGAAGCTATTCTCACTGACTGATCATTTTCTCAGTTCCCTTCCCACTTTTCTTGGGAATGAGAATTAGGCACCGAAATGGCTTCAGTGATATTTCCACAATGTTTACATTCACTTTTTGACGATGCAATTTACTGAAGTTGATCTTCATCACATACAGTTTAGCTGTTTAATTGCAAATAAGAATTAAACTCTGGTATGATGTGTATGCTATATATCACTGACAGCAATTATTTTTAACCCATCGACAGAACACCAGAGAATGCAAGTCAAAGTTCCTTCCTGATATATTTTTTGTCATTTACTGATATTTAATTCCGTTTTTTTTTAGTTCTATAGTTATTACCGGCGTGACCAAAAAGCTTGCAATGATTGACCAACTGATAAGTGGTTTAGGTTCATTTGGTGTTTTGGCTGAGCTACGAAAGAGCTGAGAAATCATGGCATACCTAATTTTAAGAATTTTTTATCACTGCACATTTTTGTGCAAAGTTTAGCCGAGCACTAGAAGCACGCCCTGGAAATTTCTGAACACACCCTTATAATAATGTGTATGACAACAAAGCAGGCTACAATTCATATTCAAAAATGCCCAAACGAACATACACTGCACAGCACTCGGGGAAATTTGGGGGCCCAGGACAAACTTTGACTTGGGGGCTATCGTGATTCCATGTTCTAACACTATGATTAGGGGTCCGGGGGCATCCCCGGAAAAATTTTGAAATCTGAGGTCCCAGAAATGGCCAAATCCTGCATTCTGGAAGTCTAGTTGATAGTTATATCTATGTATATTTCACCGCATTTCTTTATTTGGGCCCTCCTTTAACTGGGGTCCCAGGGCAAATTGCACCCATCTGGGCGGCCTTGACAGCACCGGTTACGACATCTGTGACAGCTTGACTGAAGAAAATAAATATTTTCGTCTTGGCAAATGAAAGGGCGGCTTACGGGCGTAGGCGTGACAAACTTTTAGAGGAGTTCCAGTGACATGCACCCACAGACAATTTTGTAATCTATAGGCACTATAAGAGGGCATCTCCTGCAATGCGCGGGGACATTCTATAGAATTCTGAAAAGTATACAGTAATTACAAAATCTTGTGTATCATTCACTCCATCTTCCAAACTCATAAAGAGATCTTTGGTGAGAGACGTTGTTCATCTGATGAACCATAAGTATCTTATTAGTGCGGACGTTCGATAATTTGGCAGTCATCATTTCAATTAAATCATTCTCACTCAAAATGTTTCGCCTTAGTTCAGTTTTTCTGCTCATTGTCTCATTTTCTTAATTTCTTGTGTTAATTAATAATTTTATCAAAGCAAATTTTATCACTGCACATTTTACATTTTATGACTGCACATTTTACTTTTATCACTGCGCAAATTGGTTATCACTGCACACTAAAATTAGGTATGAATCATGGAGCCATTATTAACGCTGGATGGTGCTGCTAATTTCTTGGTAACATCAGATCTTCTGCTTGACCACATGACCATAGAATGCAGTCCGGAAGGTAGCAACAGACATGCACCAGAAATTGATGTGCACAAATATTTTTGTGATTACATACAGGAGGCCGCAGTTAGAACAGGTTTCTCCAATTAATAAATTCAGTTATTACAATACAGTCGTACTGTATGACTTATACTGTATAATGTACATGTATCTCCTCCCCATAAAAATTTGTGCTTTCTCCAAACAAGTGTTTTCTGTCATGCATATCGTTCTGAGAACATCTATAGATCCTTCAATATCTGTATTAATATCACATATCATTAATTTTGCCTTTTAGTAGATGGAGATACATCTAAGAATAGCCTTTCTACGTTATACAAGTTTATAACTGGCACAAAAAGAGTGACACCACTTGGGCTGGAGAAAAACATCGCAATCAAGTTTAAACATGAATGCAAGCCTGGATGCCATTGTAGACCAACAGCTGCTACATGTGATCCCAGCATTACCTTTCCAATCCACTTTGAGAACGCAAAAGATTTTGAAGTCATTATGGATAGTGCTCTGGAAGAGAGCACTGGTTTTGGATTTGTCTAGGTTCATTGGTATTGTATAAAGACAACAGTACAGGATTTGTCTAGCCCTTTTATTTTCAACATAGACACTGTATATATATCTAATGGATCACATCAGGAGAAATAGATAGATGCATGGTTTACATTGTAGTAGTTTAGATTCGTACAGACACTATGTACATTGAACATTGCTGTTTCTCAGATAAGTACAACTGCATTGTGTAACATCAAATTAAGCATGTGTTCTTAGACTAGTGCATTTTACTAGGGGTGCACCGGAACCAATTTTTTAAGTTCTGGCCGGAACCGGAACTGCCATATATGGTCATATCATGTTACCTTTACTGCTGGAGGGCTCACAAATGTTAGAATAAAAAGATTGATAAACGTTAAACGCCATAATGAAGTGTTACAGTGAAAATACAAAAAGTGTCCCACTTCCGCTTCTGTAGTTTGTTGTGATTTACTGTAATTTGTTCTGTTTTTCTGTAGCGATTACCGATTTATCGGCAAATACCGCGATAAAACTTAGTTTTTTCTTTTTTTTTAAATATGATAATTTGTAGCAAAGGGAAATAATACATTTTTCGTTAGTTTCATTGCATAAAAGGAACGAAATTTAAATTTTATCGCAGTATTTGCCGATAAATCGGTAATCGCTACAGAAAAACAGAACAAATTACAGTAAATCACAACAAACTACAGAAGCGGAAGTGGGACACTTTTTGTATTTTCACTGTAATGGTGTATATTTTCCTTGTGTAGTCCAAATTTCTACCTACTGTGAACTTTTGTTAGACACAAAAACGTTTGATATTCTATCTCTCTGAAAATAACACTTCCGGTTCCACTTTCCAGTCATGCTTTTTTTTATTAGTTTTGGCCGGAACCAAGTTCCGGTACACCCCTATAATGTACTGTAGTTCCAGTACAGTACATGGCACAAATCAGTAACTTGATTCATTGATGAGAGCAGGATTGGACAATATTGTTGTACTGTTCACAGTTCTCAAAATTGCTTAGCATTATTACACCCAATTCTAGCTCAACAATATTGTTGAACATTCATACAACTACTGTATACCTATGAACAATGTGAGGAGCACAGCATTGATCAATCCTGTTATACAGCAGGTGTAAAATGTTTGGCCAGATACGGTGGATGCTTGTGTTTAGGGTCAAGGGATGAGCCGATTAATCGGTACGGCCGATAAATCGGCCGATATTTGGCGTTTCAAAATAATCGGTAATTGGCAGATTATTTTTATAATTGGCTATTTGCCGATATTCGCAATTTTTTCGTTTTTTTAAGAAAAATAACTCTATAATCTAGTAATCTACCCTCCGTCGTGTTTTTGACACTTTTGTTGTGCGTATTTAATTCATATGACTCGTACAGTGACCGATAACTGTCTAATATGAGTAAATATTTTCCGGAACACACTAAAACTAGTACGTCAATTTGTGGCGTATACACAAGTATTAAAAGTTGTCAAAAAACCGTTATCCGGCGCTTGTACCCCGGTACACAGAAATATCGGCCATAGCCGATTAATCGGCCGATTATTTTTTTATATCTGCTCCGATATATCGGATCACGGCGAATCGGCTTTTTTCTGGTATCGGCTCATCCCTACTTGTGTTACTTGTTATCTATAGCTATTTGTGGCAATTTGGATTTATTAATTTGTGTTAATTATATGTCATTAGAACCTGAAATAATTCTAATGCTTCCTCATGATTAGTAGGAAACTGCAACCCTTGAAATTCCATTTGGTAATGAAAGTATTCTTGAAAGATATTTTCTTCATCTTCAATCATGCAACTTTGTTCAATTTCAAGTAATTTGTCCTCAGAAACATGCACACAACAGTCAAATGCTCCAACTTCCTCTGGTATTGCATATAGGACATCTGGAACTCCACCAACAGTTTCGTGACGGGAAGGTCTTATGTAGTGAGTGTTCCAGTACATTTGTACTTCATCAAGTGAATTCTGCAAAAGACCACTGAAACAGAACCACAAACATTCTTGTGTATATTCATCAACTAAACTCAGTTGTTTCTCATCAACCATGTCTTTAAAAAACTGAATCCACCAGTTTGTGCATGATGTTTTTAACCGCGACCACCAGTTTTCGATCCTCTGGTTATGTGGAGAAGAACCAAAAACATGTGCTTGTTCTCCACTAAATGGTGCATCATCATCAGCTCTGAAGTAACATTGCGCCCCAGCAATTATTCCATTTTCTGTTCCGCAGTCGGTGCGTGTCTGTAGTGGGCATCCCTCATTTTCCCCTCACACATTGTAAATAAAATTGAGCAACACTTTGAGGTGAGTTGTTTGACCTGGTGACTTCCAACCACAAGACTTTTCTGCTGAAACCATCAATGGCTCCATGTATCGGAAAACCAAATGGTTTCAGCTTGTCATATCCTGCATGAAAAAAGAATATTTTATAATTTATATAGTAATAATAGTTGTGCATTGTTGAAATTGCAATCACACTGAGTGATGAAAAGTAAGCAACTGGTCTGAGTTTCTATGAATTGTACATAATCATTTGGGCATTACAGTGAAAATACAAAAAGTATCCAATTTTTGTAATTTGTTGTGATTTACTGTAATTTGTTCTGTTTTTCTGTAGCGAATACCGATTTATTGGCAATTACTGCGATAAAATTTAAATTTCGTACCTTTTATGCAATGAAACTGACGAAAAATGTATTATTTCCCTTTGCTACAAATTATCATATTTAAAAATAGAGAAAACTAAGTTTTATCGCGGTATTTGCCGGTAAATTGGTAATCACTACAGAAAAACAGAACAAATCAACAAATCATAGACGGATTTTGTGTGTGGG